ACCGGTCCAAAGACTGTTCAATCTATTCAAATTCTTGTTAATTTAGATTGGTTTCAACTCAAACCTGGTCCATTGACACCTATGTTCTTATCTACTATCAATGGACCAGATATTGGCTCAATCCAATATAAATTCATTATGGACAGACCAGGTCCAATCCAATATGTCATATTGGTTCGTCCAGTCCGTCCAAATTTAATGTCTTATTGGTCCGTCCAATCCGTCCAAATGAATTTTGATTTGGACGGAGTCCAACCCAAAACCGGTCCATTAACACCCCTAGATGTAGTCCGATGACGAGAGAAAATTAAAGTAGGAGGGACTGGTGCAGATTTTGCAATTAAAATTTGCTAATAGATGCAAATGAGACAAAGAAGTACAAATTTTGCATGAGGTAAGAGTGAAAATCATAACCACAAACAAACACAGCCTTAAGAACTTTCCCTTAACTTTCTATTTCTCTCATACATGATGGTTCAGGCATGACGGCTCGGGTTAGCATTTTACGATACTTAATGCCTGACCTTTCAGATTGTTCCCATTCAAATTTTGACAAAATCCCAACTAGAGCCCATCCAAATTGCACTCTTAACAAATAAAACGGAATGACAAAACAGGATTCTGATAATGATAACCAGTGAATAGGTATCATAAAAATGATAACCAATCAATTTTTTTTGGCTAGAAGGTAAGATGAATAGAAAAGGCTGGTTATAGTAAAAGTTGTTTTAGGCTTTTTGCATGTAAATTATAGGGAGATGAGACATCTTTTTCTTCTTGTGCCGTGCTGTCTTTTTCAGACTGAGAATTTTAAAAGTGTATGAACTAATAAGCCCTTTTCTTATATAAACAGATTCTTGAAATACCCAAAGTACCCTCCAGAAACAATTCCAATGCAAGCTCCATCACTTTGTAGTTTTATAATGACCGGCCGAAGTATCCACTTGCCTTTCAAGAACCAATTTCACCCCGACCCTCATATTACCCATCCAATTCAACTTTATCCATGAGTTGCAAATCTTCCTTAAGAGCTAGCCCTTTGATTTGGGGTGTCAACACTATTCTAAAATTCGATTTTGAATTTGAGATTCAATATAATTGAATTGGGTTCACATAATTTGAATATCTAATTAGTTGAATTCGGATATGATTTAACTCGATTTAATAAATATTCGAATTCGACCAATTATTTAATTTTTATATATAATATATAAAATATCTAAATGTTTTATATATAATAATTAAATTATATAAATAATTTATATATTTATATACTTTATATAGATAAAATATTTATTGTATATATTTATTAATTACCTAAAATAATTAATTTATCAAATTCGGATCGAATTGAATATTCAAATATTTAATCGAATTCGAATATTGAATTTTCTAATCGGATTCAAATTCAGATATTGCCTAATTTGAATTGAATTCGATCCGTTTACACCCCTACCTTTGATGACAGCTAAACTATGTGCTGAAAATAGAACTTTTATATGATTTCAAACTTAAAAATGGTTGAAATCTAAGGATATTAATGAAGTTTTTGGAAACAAATGACCATTAATATTGGGTGTACGTTAAATCCATATTTCAATCAATCATATTAAAGTCTACTTAATTTCCATTGGTTCATGTTTTACAAAGTGTATTTCATGTTTAACAAAGTGCACTTACCATATTATATTCAACCAATCACTTTTTTTCTGCCAAGGTGAAGTGGGATGCACCATAGATTTTGCCTTATTTGAAGTGCAACTCTGAACCCAGATACAAAATTTGCATCCAATTTAATTTTACATCCATTTGTTTACAAGAATAATTTGCACTCTTACCTGATACAGTATTTGCACTTTTTGTCTCATTTGCATTCATTGGTAGTGCAAATCTAGCATCTAAAATTGATGAAAATTTGCACCACCTTCCTTTCACCTAAGGATGATATTTTTTTCACCTTCTACTTTATTTGTTGTTGATGCTCAGAATGGGCTGACAACACTGTAACTTCTTTTCTGAGATGAGTTGGCTGGCGGAGGGATCTGCGAGTGTTTGAGGTTGGCTGAGGTCGAGCACCTACGGAGTTCGACCTGTAGAGGAAGGTAAAAGTCAGAGGCCCCAGGTCGATGCCCGAGGCGGGGACTCCAATGGTTAAGTTAGTAGGAGTGTGGCAACGAGGGTGGACGAGGCCTGAGTAGAGTAGCTCAAACGAGGTCGCCCAAAAGCTAGAGAGCTTGGAGTAGCGGGTTTCCAACCTAGATTCTAGATTATTACCTTGAGGGGGGTTAACCCCTATTTATACTTGAGACCGCCTGGAGGTGGACGGATGCAGACGGTTAGGATGCGATCCGGCCCAGGGCGTACGACCATCCGAGGTTGCCGTCTGTAGTCATGCCATTGGTCCCGCATTGACCACCGACCTCCACCTTGCTCGACACCCTAATTGGCTCCGCCTTAGCCATGTGTCAGCGTGCTACTGGCCTGTCTAAAGCGCTTACATCATTTGCTCCCCACTCTCAAGGCCGCGGTAGAGGTCTTAGCTGAGGACCTTGGCTTCGAACGAAGAGAGTGTCATTCTTGCTAGGAAGTGTTGAGTGGCCTTCTACGACGAGGACCTCAATTGTGGCTGAGTTGGAGAGAGCGGTCTTTGAGCGCGAAGGTGCTGGCCTCGATTTTGGAGATGTTGAGGATAGCCCGTCTTGGGAGCTTGGAGACATCGACTCCAGCTGAGGCCTCGTTGGAGGTAGTCTGGCCTATGAACGTATTGATGTCGTCCTCGGCGTCAGAGAGCATTGGCTACTGTGCTGATTTTGCCTCTTGAGGGGGTCATAGAAGGCCAAAGAGCATGGTAGCATTAGCCTCGGTTTCAGAGAGCTTGGTACCGTGATTTGCAAGGGTGTGAGGTGTGTGTGCCCCCTAGTCGTGTGCTTCAGATGAACTGATGAGTTCATGCGTGGGATACGCGTAGGCTTCTGGCCAGTCACCACCATGTGAGGTACAGATGACGAGCGGGCATGTCGTGGCTGCGCACGAGATGAGTTTTAGCGCCAGGTGTTGTCCGTGCGTGTGACGCGTCTCGGTGTTGAAGGTTTGGGACCGTGCCCGAGGCAGACATCGGGTCGTGATCGTACATGAGACGAAGGTGGTATTCTTTTGCATCTGGTGTAGAGGACTAGTTGTTCAGGTCGATTTGGTGGGGAGCCGAGCTGAGCCACCAGTGGCGGAGGAAGCTTTGATGCGGGCTAGCCTCGGCTCCGCTCGCCTTGGTAGGAGGACTCCTGCTATCGGCCCGACATGTTGGCTCACTTTTCCATTGGTAAGCATTAAGTAGCTTGTGCTTGTGTAAGGGTGCCATTGAACGCCAGGGACTTGCTACTCGAGAGGCCCAAGTTGCTAGAGAGGGCTTCGGGTGAGGGCCCATTTGGCAGATAGGTGTTAAGAGGGCACCTTGACCAGGTCGGCTGAGAGGATGCCTCGACCAGGAGGGCACCTTGGTCAGGAGGGCCAGGAGGGCACCTTGGAGGGAGGGTACTTCGGCAAGGAGGGCACCTCGGCCAGGCTGCCCGTAGGGGTGGCTGAGGTGAGTACTTGCTTTGTTACTTGGAGGATTCCTTTGTTGACAATTGTGCTTCCATTGCGGGTTATTTGTCATGCCGTCAGCTTGTGGCTTCTATGCGAGGAGGGTGACAGATGAAAAGCTACAATCGTTTGAGGTGACGATATCTCGAGCCGAGGAGGTGAGGTCATCGGCGAGGAGGAGCGTTCGTCAAGAGGCGGGCAAAGAGGGCTGCTGAGGTGTTGTCGGCATTCAAGGTGACGATGCCCCGAGTTAAGGAGGTGAGATCACCGATGAGGAGGGGCACGCATCTGCCGAGGTGTGGCTAGCGTCCAAAGCGATGAAGTGAGGTGAGCCTGAAGGGTCATTGGCAAGTGGCCGAGGAAGAGACGTGTTCGAGGTCTCGGTTGCCTTCATCAAAAGCCGAAGTGTTCATGCTCGTCGAGGAGGTGTGGCCGTTCGGGGGTCCGTTTGCTGAGGAGCACCCTATGGCAGCCGAAGAGGTCACCGAGGTCTGAAGCCCGTTTTGAGTTGTCCAGCATGGGATGTGATTTTTGTGTATCTTGTGCCTTTTTTTCCAGTTGAATTTTTGTGTAGGGGCGGTGCCCCCTTTCAAGAGGTTGCAAAAAGTCCGTCACTCAATAAGCCATCCACTCAAGCACCCAAGGGAGTTAGGCCGAGGACACGAGGCCCCTTCCCTTAGCGAGAAGGAAAGGGAGGTGCACACATTAGCCCTCTTGGCTACCCTTTCCATGGGGATAGAGCGCGTGGGCCCGCGCCTAACCAAGGCTTAGCGTGGTGCCTGGCCGATGCCGTGAAGTGCTCCGGTGTTAGCGAGGTGGCATAATTCCCTTCAGCATGTTTGTTCTGCCACAATTTGTGCTAAGCGGAGGGCCAATGTCGGCTCTCCAACCTGGATAAGGACTCACTCACCGGGAGAGTCTTCCAAGGTTGAGGCCAATATCATGGGCCGTCCTGTTAGATGCGGCCGAGGTCCCTTATGTCCCTTGTCAAAAAAAGGGGCGAGTAGGCGTGTGACATCCAGAGGGTCGTATGCCTTGGGTCAACGTCCGACCTAGGCGTATAACCTAGGCTAAGGTTGCGAGTCGCGGCCAATCAACTGACCGAGGGGGACTTGACGACTAGGCGTATGACCTCCGAAGGTCGTGTGCCTTGGACCGAGGTCCAGTTTGAGTGTGTAACCTTGGTGTAGGTTGTATGCTACAACCGGTCGCTTGATCGAGACGAGAGCGTATACGCTAAGGGTCTGAGGCAAGGTGAGAGAAACTTGCTTTAATTAAAAAATTGTTTACATGGTTGGGCCTGCGGGTATGCTCGAGGCCGAGCTCTTGATGATGACATTGATTATCACCACTGCTGTTGGGGCAAGGTGATTAGGCTGCTTTCAATGTACTCTTTTAGATATCCGTGGCAGATGAGGGATTCAATCTCGTCTTGGTGCTCGTAACAATCCTTGGTGTCGTGGCCGACGCTGCGGTGATATGTGCAGTATTTTTCTTGGGTCACCCTTCTTGGGGTTCCTCTTCTTCTTCCCATGCCACTTCGCATACTCCTCCTCTCCTACCTGCATGAGGATATGTGCTTGGGTCGAGTTGAGTGGTGTGTACTGGTCGTAGGATGGGGCCGACGGCTTCTTCTTGTTGTTGTCATTGCCATGGCTGTCTCCGTTCTTCCTCTTCTTCTCAGTGTCGCCATGGTCGTGGTCGGTCTCTCCTCCTCGGTGCTTGCCAGTTGAGGCTTCCTCGGCGGCGATGTATTTCTGTGCCTTTTTCAAAAAAATCGCCTTCGTTTTGGGCGATGTCTTGGCAATAGAGCACTTAAGGGCCAACTTAGGGACGAGGCCTTGGATTGTTGCATGCACGGAGACCATGGGGTTGAGGTCGCGGACTTCAAGTTCTTCTTTCTTGAAGCGGTCGATGCAGGACCACAGACTCTCGTCGTGCCTTTGTCGGACGACCATAAGTGAGACGACACTCTTCTGGCATCGTTGGCTGCTGATGAAGTGGGCGAGAAAAAGATTGGTTAATTGCTCCCACGAGTTGATGGAGCAAGGTGGGAGCTTGACAAACCATCGGCGAGCTGCCCCCTTGAAAGTCACCTGGAAAGCTCGAAACGTCAAGGTGTCGGAATACCCGTGCAGGAGCATGAGTGCTCGAAAGCTTTCCAAGTATTCGTCTAGATCCGTGGTGCCGTCGTACGTTTCTAGTGTGGGAGCTTTGAAGTGAGGTGGAAGAGGCTCCGAGGTGATGGCATCAGTGAAGGCGTCCATCCTAGTGGACGAGGGGTTCTAGCTTGTCGAGGCATCACCTTGGCTCTCCTTAACTTGTCGAATTTCATCTTTCATAGCACCGAGCTGCACCTACAAGTCGGCAATCCTCTAGCTGACGGGTACCTGGACCTCATCCTGGTCCCCTCGAAGGCGTGACAGGTTGGCCCAATTTACCGAGTACGCAGATGTGGGTGCGTCCTAGTTCCTTTTGGCCCATCAGTCTTCAAGGAGTTCTCGGAGGTCTAAGGCGTGACGGGGGGAGGTGCGGCGTCAGTCCTCGGCCCTTGAAGGGGAGCTATGGTGGCTCGATTGCCCGCCTTCATCCCAGGGGCTTTCTTATTGGCCAGCGGTGTCTTTGGTCTCGATGGCGGTCGTGAGATCATGCTAATTCATTTTCCCTTTGGTCGGGAGGTTGGGAGGTCCTCGGCGGTTGACTGACACATCGGCCGCTGTCGTTGAACTCTGAGGGGCCAGCCCTAGGAGGTCCAGTAGGGCGTTGAACCATCGGAGCTTGAAAAAAGCGTCCGCTGTTGTACCCCAGGCTTCTAGCAGGGCAGCCACCCTACGGATGGCCTCCTACCGGTCGCCTCACCTCGTCTAGTCTTCGCGAGAGGTTGTCGAGCCGGTCGAGGACTGCTTGAAGTTGGTCTCTTGTGACCAGGTTCTGGGCACTTCTGGTGTTTCTAGCCATTTCGTTGGAAGCTTAACTGTGGATTGGAGGAAGTCTTAGTAGTCCTTCCCACAGACGACACCAATTGTTGATGATCAGAATGGGATGAGGACAACACTGTAACTTCGCTTTCGAGACAAGCTGTCTAACGGAGGGGTTCGAGATCGGCTAGGGCCGAGGATCTGCGAGTGTTTGAGGTTGGTTGTGGCTGAGCACCTACAGAGTTCGACCTGTAGAGGAAGGTAAAAGTTAGAGGCCTCGGGTCGATGCCTGAGGCAGGGACTCCGATGGTCAAGTTAGTAGGGGTGTGGCAAAGAGGGTAAACAAGTCCTGAGTATAGTAGCTCATACGAGGTTGCCCTAAAGCTAGAGAGCTTGAAGTAGCGGGTTTGTAGCCCAGATTCCAAATGATTACCTTGAGGGGGATTAGCCCCTATTTATACTTGAGACCGCTTGGAGGTGGACGGGCGCGGATGGTCAGGATGCAATCTGGCCCAGGGCACATGACCATCCGAGGTCGCCGTGTGTGGTTTCGCCATTGGTCCCGTGTTGAGCGCCGACCTACGCCCTGATTGGCTATACCCTCAGCCACGTGTCGTTATACTAAACCGCCTACGCCCTAAAGCGCCTACATCACTTGTCACAAGACAAATAAGGCAGAGTCAAATCTTAAAGCAAAACTAAACCGCTATTTACAACCCCCATTCCCAGTCATACAACCAGTTTTGAACAATGGACCCACGTTGTCCTCCACAGCATTATCTTGCAGGTTGTCTATTCCTATACTTGTTTTGGTTATCCCACATCTCGTTTCCGTCCTGTCCTTCCCATTCTTCATCACCCATGAATTCCTTCTCTCTTGTCATCCTCGGCATTTTGAATTAGTATACCCTTCCCTGTTTTTCATTATTTTCATTATTAAAATATTGTATTTCATGTCAAAATGCCTCTCTTTCTTTCTTTTATCTTTTTTTATTTTTTTATTTTTTTATTTTTGGATGAGCTTGAACCGATTCCAAATCATGTAACACGTTGGGTGAATATATTGAGTATAAATGTGACAATTGTCTCATAAATACCCTACGGCCTACGCTTGGAATGATTCAAAAGTAAATTTCTATAGACATTTATCAGAATTGAGCGGTTGCTCAGAATGCTCACAAGGGTATACCTACTACATCCAGTCTTGCTTGAAACTCTATAACATTTACCTTGTGAAACTCTATGATTTAAGCTAAAATTTTCAGCTTTAAACACTTGATTGCCCGTTTGGGATGCGTGAAATGCAATGGAATAATGGATTCTAGCTTCGCAAGATGAGTCCCACACGGCCGTCGGCCGGAGAGCCTATAAGCTATGTTTGGTGAAATATCTAAACACCCAAACCAAGTCAGTCATGTAAAGGGGTGTCTGCTTCAACCTCTTTGAATAACTTACTCGGAGCACTTGAAACAGTTGAACCAGTTCTACTCGATGCCAAAAACTACAGTTTATCCAATCTACATTTTATCGAAATGGTTGAGGGTAGGCCTTGGTGCATAAGTTGGGTTGTTCCATTGCAACCTGGGTTACTAGGGTTCAAATCTTGGAAACAGCTTCTCTATATATGCAAAGTTAAAACTACATCTATCCCTCCCCAAATTCCGCATTGGCAGAAGCTTGTACACTGGGGCTGCCCCCCTTAGTTTAGAGAAATGGTTTGATTTTGGAGTCTTATGACATGCCCTCTTCCACTTTGATTCTCCCCTGCTCTCGTTTTATCTTTTTGTTTTTTTTTTTTTTTTTTTTCTCAATGTGGCTACAAAACAGGGGTAGCCCATCTCCATAACCTCCCAAGCACTGGTGCAGGCTTGGGCTACAACCAGCCAGTTGGCACCTTGTTTCTCTCGTTTTATCTAAACCTACAACTTGTAACAGATAAAAAGGAAAGGGCAGCTCAGCGCACAAGGCTCCTCCTGCCAATGCAGGATTTGGGGAGGGAGAGATATATGCAACCAGAACCCATGATTAACCAGACAAGTTTCAACAAATCGTGGCCACATGGAAACAAAAAATTTCTACCAATAAAGCTTGGAACTTTTGAACCGCTGGTTTTGCTTAAAAAATACATGTGGGACAGCTTCAATGTAAAAGCTTTTCAAACCAGGAATGAAGACAAGGTAAATACAGAGGAACCCCACCACCACCCAGTGGATAGTCTGACATCAACACTCCATGTTGCTGAATTAAGAGAGGTTGTTGAGAGAACTGTAGATGATCCTTTGAGATAGTCTCTGACACTAGTTTATTTGACACAACTGGTGCATCCCATGTGGGAGATAAAAATGAAAAATAAAATGAATGCCTGACTGGATATATCTCAAACCATATGGGCAACTCTTGTTTTTTCTTCTTTTTTAGTGGATATTTCAATTCTGAAACTATTTGGGCAGATTTTTCTTTCTTCTTCCTTTTTTTGAGAAAGGTATAGTACATTAATTGATATAAAAAAGTATGACCCTCATCTTTCTTTTTTTTTTTTATTAACCGAAGGATAGATAACCTTCTTTCCTGGACATTCAAAATTTATCCAATCCACATGAAATTATTAAATCAGAAAAATGTTTAGCCCAGAACAAATTTAAACTTTCAGCAACCATATGCACTCATGGTCTTAGACTGTTGGCCTATCATGCATCGATAATTACGAGTAACAATTTGCAATTGAAATGATGCATGTATGGTCAAATGAATAACAATTTATGGAATTGCTGGTGGAAATGGAGCTGCAGTGCAGAGCCGTGTACATCCAATAAACAAAATATAAAGCTACAATGTGAAAGAATAAATTTTCTGTATAAATATCACAATGTGCTCCCACTCCCAGAAAGAATACATTGTTTGGATAACAATCATAGAGAAAAAGAATGGAGAGAGAGAGAGAGAGAGATTGTTTTTTGCAACCAAATATATGCATAACCCAATCAACAGTAACCAGTCTGAAAGAGGTTTTCATATAGCTCACGCACTTAAGATCTCATTTACCAACTTTCCAATGCCTTCTCAAGCAGAGCATAGGCCAAAATGGACCACATGTATTCGCACTGTTTCTCTCTCAATTGTCAAAACTGTTGGCTGATGCTTCTCCCAATAAAGTTAGCTGCTGAACGGTAGTAGAAGTAGAACCAAGCTTCCACAAAGATTGATTAGGAGAACCTTCACCACAAAAAATTAGAATAGAGCACTCCAAACAGCTCCATCCCCCTCACCACATCTTTCATGAACGTCCTTAATCTTCTCCACTGATTTACAAATACCACTGCAGCTCCAATCAAATGAGGCAATGCAAACATTTCCTGCCTGTGCCTTCCACTCACAATCTGTAGTATAGCAGTGATGAATTAAAAGTCATCAGAAAGGGAACCCCAGTTAAGGAAAACTATACAAGTAATTTTGAAAAATCATACCTGGTGGTGTTCCACAGCACATATTACGCTCATCAATGTGTTCAACTTCAAGACCAATAAACCAAGCACCAAGTGAGACATCTTCATTGGCATATTTGTGCAATATGGGCCTGCAATCACAGTTTAGCTATGCTTTCAACTCATGACAGATTAAGGATTGGTTACCATGTAAAAGGACATATCCCTGTGACTCACAAACTGACATTAAATCACTTCAGATCCTATTGCACTTGAACTCACTGATAAATCATGGTGAGTCCACTTCAAATGCTGCAATGTTAAAAGTGGTCACTGGACTACCTGCTATACTACAACCCCTTGAAAATATACATTTTTTTTTCTTTTGATTGGTAACCCCTTAAAAAAATGAAAAATTCTCCACTACTCAGATTTTAGTTATAGTTGTTGCCTGGGAATGCATTCCAATAAGTGCAAGAACAGAACTTTTTGTCTTCACCTCCAGTGCAGAATTTTCCTTTACTGGTGCAGCTGCAACCGTTGGAATCTTCCCTTCTATTATATAGGGGTGCAACTTGGGTCAGGTAGAGAGAAAGAGAGAGAGAGAGAGAGATTGTGAAGGGCTTGGCAAGAGAAGAGATGTGGAGGAAGGTGGGGTTTATATATATTGGACTTGACAGGAATGTGCTTCATAAACAAAATTAAAAGATCATTTCTAGAGACAAGACGAGCTGACGAAATTTTTGAGAGAAAGAGAGAGAGAGATTGTAAAGAGCTTGGCAAGCGAAGAGGTGCGGGAGAAGGTGGGGTTTATATATATTGGACTTGATAGGAATACTTCTTTCTTTATAAACAAAAGAAGAAGATCAGTTCTAGAGACAAGACAAGCTGAAGAAACTGTCAAGCGAGTGCTATTACTTCATCATTTGGGAGAGGGTTTCTAATTTTTGAGTATCATAAAACTGCTCACTTTGGTTTCAAATAAAAAAAACTAAAAAACTAAAAAATAATTTGCTTTTGGTGGGCATTGCTTGTTCTGAACTCAAGATTCAGGTCTCATTTTTTTCTGTTGTTTCATATCCGTGCTTAATCTTCTTCCATATGTACATGAAAAATAAAACTAGTTCCTCTTAACAAGATTTATTTTCTTCCTTGATATTCTTTTTTGTTTGCTCTACTTTTTTTTTTCTGATTATGTGCTACCTCTTGCAGATTTGTGTTCTCAAGGTGGATATTCATTGTGATTGATGGTGTTAAACTTGTCATAGAAAATTGATGGTATATTTTCATTTTAATAAACTGTTCTTTCACAAAAGTTTTCTACCATTATAGATTGAAGAAACAGCCAGTGACCTTTTTCTTCACTTCCTCCACTTTTGATATGGCACAACTTTGTGTGGACTCATTGGGATTTTCAGGCAAGTCCAAGTATAACAGTAATATAATTCCATAGGAAACAAGAAATTGGTGAGCTCACGAGATCCAGAAGATAGAACCCACCAATACTTTAATATGAAACTAAGGAAGCAAAAGCCAACTCTTACTGGTTGATTGAGATGTATGTTGCCAGATCCTTTGAGATAGCATAGATCTGTCCCGTTGCATGTCGGAAGTATTTGTTCCCTTCCTCTCCAAACTTCCAGTACTCAGGTTCATGGTACTTAACATTCCTGGAGAAGGAAAAGACAAAGGAGAAAAAAGCAACAGAAACATCACAAAACTGCAAGACATAAAATGCCAAAGTTGAATGATAAATTTGAGTTTGAGGAGGATTACTTCTGAGAAAGAACAGGTCCAGATTTCATACAGCCCATGTAAACTCTGGGCTTTGAACGATGGCGGGCAAGAGTAGCAGCTAGCATACCTGTAATTCTCAAATCAAAAGTTACAGAATGAAACGTTTAACTAGAAATGAAAAAAAAAAAGTGGGCAATGTTGTAAAAATCTGATTTAGAAAAAGACATCATGCATACCCAAATTGACATGGACATCATCATCCACCTTAACATAGAACTCTGCATCCCATTTTGCAACAGCAGTGGAAAAGAAGATTTTTGTCTTCGCAGATAATTCATGATACCCCTCAACATGATCCTGCATGATGATAAACCAGGTTAAGACCTAACTCAGACAAATTCCTTATGTGAAGTGTGTGAAGAATGTTAATGAGTGCTTCCTTTACCAGCCTAAGAAAGTCATTATGCTGAGCCTCTTCTGAATCAATGGCCCGATCTAGAATACTGTTGGATGTTGCACTGTATCAACAATGGAAATATAAGTTAGGTTAGCTCCCATATTAAAATACATTGACCATCCAAATTCTTAATATTTTGATGATAACTTTTCTGTTTCACAGGTCAGGAAAGACCAAGATGGCATATGTGATTGCACTCGGTAGAAAGGGAAATCATGATAATGAAGGAAAAAATAGAAATATACGTAGGAAGAATGGAAGATAATTATCTAGAAAGAAGAAAAATTAGCTATTTAGCATATGAGATATCATCCTATAGAATAAAAAAAGTTTAATCTCATCAGAAAACCCAAAGAATTGTTGCATTTTCAGGATTCTATTCATTTTTAAAAATTAGGTCTAGCAACTCCTGCTTATGTCATCAGAACCATGGTTCTTTTAGCATCAAATCATGATTGCATCACCTAAATTAACTCTTATGCAGGCATGAAATAAACCAAACCAGATCAGAATGCTTCAGAAGGCTTTAAGACCCTAGACCATAACAAACCAATCTTCAAGGGAAATAAGGAAAGAAAGGCTAAGGGGGGTATTGGTTCATTACATCACTATTGATGTGATTCCCCAAATCCCAATTATTAAATAAGTCTCCTCAAACTCATTTCCTAACAATCAAAACTTTTAGCTCTTAGTTGCTTTTTTCTCCAAAACTTTTATACCAATGAAATGAAATTTCTTCCATGATTGGCACAACAATGACCTGGCTGGCACCATTCATCATCTCCTTCATGACCTCAGTTTTGCATGCTCAGTATTTGCAATCATGAAAGTTTTTTCTATTTCTTCAAACAAGTGCTACTCATTATATAATATCTGATCTACCAGATTTTGAGTTCAAAACTGAGAAAAATATTGTGCTTCACAATAGACTTCCATTGAATTTGTTCCTTGATATCAGTGGTCAGATTGTTTGCCCTCTAACTTGGTCCACTGTCCAGTTTTGGCATCCCAAATGTTATATAACCTTTCTAAATCCTTCTTTTTGTCCACTGCATGTTAAAGGCAACATGATCCTCTCATTGTCCAGAACCCTAGTGTCAAGAGGGACTGATAAGCTATCTGGGTATAAAGTGATACAGGGCAACAAAACAATCCTCTCTTTGAAGGAAAATATCCTTGATTCTGAATTTTGATGGTATTAAACTTAGTAATAGAAGTAAGGTTCAAAGTATTGATGCACCCAATACACCGGTAGAGGCATATCGGTAGCTGTTTATTTATTTTTTAGTTTTTTTTTTTTTCAAATCTGGTTCAGAGGGGTCAGCTTAAGGTCCATCCACCCCCTGAACTGGCTTAGACCCCGAAACACCCACTGTAGGGGAATATTGGGAAGCCCCCGATATGATATGTATTGACCGATATGGCCTGATACATATCGATACTTTGAACCTTAAATAGAAGTGGAATTATTGGCTGTTCTTTCTTATGTTTCTTATTTAGTTTAAGAACTTATTGTTATTGGGTGGGACATGATTCATGTAGCTGACCCCATATAGTTGGAACTTGGAACAAGGATTAGATGATGATGATGATCTATTGTCATTGGGCCATGGGCCTATTTCAGTTATTGGTCTTTTGTTACTGCCACCTTACTAGGGGCACTTTTATAATTTTCACATATCTCCAGCAACTACATAATAGAGTGGGGGAGGGGGCTCAAAGTGAGCCCCACAATCTAATTTTCTCTTCACTCCTCTTCTCTTCCTTCTTTCTCTTTTTCTCTTTATGCTCTTCTCTTCTTCTAACACCATATTTTGTTTATTTCTTAGATTAATTGTTTCTGAATTATTAACAAGAAAGTTAGATACAAAATAAGACATAAAGATTTAAGATCACCAGCATGAACTTTAACATCAAGGGACTTTTCAAGGCTGAATGGCAACAGAAATATGAAGAATATATGCTTGGACATATCTACAGAAAAACCGTGGGGAATGGAACAAATAAAAGTAATAAACCTCTGCAAATAGGTTGAAAAACCTCATGGAATCAGTGTGCAACACATGGATTAAAAGACAATCATAGACTAAATGAGATAACAGGGAACAAAAAATTCATCGTTCCCATGAATTTGGAGTTTTAATTCCAATCATCATACAAGCAACAAGTGCTATCCAATAATTACCTAAAAAGCAGTGTATGCACAATTTGGCTTCACAAGGTAAATGCAAATCAAACCAACATAACAACATAACCACCACCATTATGACATCCACAACAGGCACCAAAAGCATGGTCGTCATTATAGGAGCCCTAGCATTCATAACAAGAGTAGATCTCTTTGTCATCTGTGAATGGATGGAAAAATGTAGATACTCTGTTCCTTGCTCTGTCTTAATGAAGCAAAGCATCAAATTACCAAGCTCAAGTATCTAGAACTCTATATCAAAGTTAGCTCCATAATGTCATCTAGGAAGACACTCAGGTGTATAAGGAGTCTGATGTTTTTACTTGTTTTCATAATTTTTTTCTGTGTGAAAAATCAGTCTGATAGTAGCTGAAACTGCCTATATTTGCCTAAGAAATTCTATCAACGAAATTGTCTTTCATCTTTATACACTTGTAAGATGATCTGTTTTCTCAAAAGTGATTTAATAAATATCATATAGGACATTTAAAATACCTTACTACTAGAACCCTTAATTTTATAGCATCAAGAAGAGGTGATATGTTGCAAGTTGATGGGGCAAGAAGGGCTAGGGGCAGACCGAAAAGGACACAAGTTAAAACATATAGTTGGGATAAGGATTAGATAATGATGATGACTACTAGAATCCCTCATCTACTCAGTCCTCCTATCCTATTTATATACTCACCTTCCAACTCCCCTTAGTGCATTTAGATTCAAGTAATAGAAGTGACAGGGATCACAAATAGTTTGACACGTAGTCTGGTTTTCAGGACTCCAATTATGACTTGTGAGAACATAAACTTGCTTGTGCATCACATTGATCATGAATGCAAATTGCAAACAAATTTCTCCACATTTTCCCTTTGATTAGTAAGTTCCAACTTCCAATTTGTCTTCTAGCTTGTTTACTCCCAGAGTTCCTAGGAACCTTAAGTACAGCACTAATTACTAATCCACTATATAGAACCTGGAGATAAGAAAGAAATCTGATTGTGGACTTGGTAGAATAAAACAACTTAAGCCCGCCCACAATCTTATCCTTTAACAAGTGTATATCAAAGAAACATACAAGTTAAAAGCAACAGATCTCTTTCATCGTTCTTGTATCAGGGTATGCTTGAAAGTTGGATCAACCATGGTTACTTTGCAGCACTTTCTTAGTTTCCCCTCCAAAAGTTACCAGTAAATGCAAGTGCAAGGAATTGGATTAACAGTCCAGTTGCATTAAGCACTGTTTTTTCAGGACACTTGTGATCTTTAACAGACCAAATTGCTTTGCAGTGAAGACATGTGCAAATATGAAACCGAATGCTGATTTTATTCTTACTTTGGACTTTGGAGTGGTTTAACAAATCCAAAAGATATTATTCTTATTGGCATAGAGAAAAATAAGATCCCAACCACTTGGAGAAACCAGGAATTAAAAGTTGCCAATATACAACAAAAGCTTCTGATGCATCCAAGATAGCCAACAGAAATTGAAATGACGAAATAAAGTTTCGAAAGTTATCTTGTTCAATTTAGTCTTCCAAGATAAATAAAGTCACAACTAAGACATTTTATTGATGCTTGAGAAATTTTAGGGAAAGCTTTTTAGGTCATTCAGTGGTTCACAGGATCTAGTGATGGCCTGATGCCAATAGCAGGCATCTAAACAGAGGCAATGGAGATTGCCAAATGTTTTAACCATGATTTTGAGCTAGTATAGAGTCTCATGTTGTGTTTTATGGTTCATTAAGCCTAATCCTTAGTAAAAAGGATGGTGATAGGGATAATGCTGTCAATGGGTTGGTTCTGGTCTGGCTTAGGGTAGATTCTGTTCCAAACTGATAGATAGCAGAACCGGTACCAAACCAAACCTTATAGGATCTGTAATAACTAATAATAGACCCAGAACTGACACAATTATTAATCAGGACTATTGGATCTGATTCAATAAGACCCAATTATAATTTACAGATCTACTTTTAACCCGTAATTTGGCAACAAATCCACTAACTTATTAAATTAACACTTTTGGACATGATAATGTGATAATACTACTAGTATACCTGGGTTGGTTCTCTTTGGTTTTGTTGGGTATGCCTGACCAATTGACAGTCCTAGTTAGGGATATAACATAGAAACTCTGTCCCCTAGCCTTCATAAGATTTGCTTCATTCAAGAAATACCTTGATAACTCATTGATAGGGAAACAATACCAGCATGGGAGGAAATATTTTCTAAGGACAGCATAAACACATCAACATGAAATCTTAATAAGAAGTATAGAATATCACTTCCATCCATCAAGGATGTAGTTCCAAATTTCTATTGTATATATTGGAATGGATTTCTTTTTCTCCAGCATCCAGATCTACAATCTAGTTTATAGACAACCTATCACCATTACACAGGCTGAAATAAATGAAAAAATAAATTCATTCCTATGTCTCATTGACTGCATGAAGAGCAACAGTGCTTGAAGCTGTCAATTATCAAAAAAAAAAAAAAAAAAAAACAGTGCTTGAAGCTGTCTTCTGAAACTATTATGGTGAATGATTGGCTGAATTGTAAAAAACATTCAGGGTACTTTTTTAATGTAACAAGACATCAACCAACAATAGATAAACCTCACAAAGAAAATAAAGCAAATTTGTCAGAAGCATAAAGATCATAGAATGAGTTGTTGAGTTCCCAATCTATAGTGCATTTCTTTAGTTAGAAAGAGAAGTGAAATCAGTATAAGAATTATCCCAAACACAGTACAGATCCTAAAGCTGGGTATAGAATATTTATAACAAACACACAAATAAGAGAAAAAAAAAATATATAGAGACACAAGCTTGGTGTGATTTAAAGAAGGGATGTACCTGTGCCCAATCATGAACCGTATAACAATTCCCTTCTCTTCCTCTATCTGCCTGAGCTTTTCCCCTGGTTGAACAAGACGACACGGTTCCAAGAATTACAAACATGTTCCAATCATTATTGAGTCCGAAGTCTATTGAGTAAAAAAACCAATATTTGATCTGTATGAACGACATCGACAAGGGTTGTAAGAGTAATACCTCGAGGCATCCAAGTCTCTCTAACAGAATCACGCCTCTTCCTGCTACTGAATGCAGTGTTTATTCCAATAACCACAAAAGCCTTCTTCTTTGGTTGGCCATTTTGGAAAGATGATATTAGTGCAGGGGAACCATCATGGTTTCCCAGCTCCTGAGAACTCCTGGTCGCAGCCAGCTCCATCTGCAGCGTTGAAATTGTCTTGTCTAATGATCTGCCAGGAGCCCAAAGATTCATTCAGGAACTAAATTATTAGCAAAGTTTAGAAACAAGTAAAACTAATAAATCGTGCAGAATAACGAATGCAAATCAATACTCACTGAATTGCTTCATGAGTTCTGTAAACCTCCCCCATAATATCCTTATCTTGGCCACGCTTCTGATACAACAAGAATAAACGTTAAAAGAAATTTGAGGCACTAAAATGGAAAAAGGGATAAATTTCAATATTTAACTGATCTATCCAATTTTAGAAAACAAACAGACCCTCTTCGTTGTGCAGTCCTCAGAGACAACTTGCAGCTCTTGTTCATGTCGTTGCCTCGATATGATCTGACCGTTCGATTCCGGGGGAGCCCACAACCTGAAAGACGATCAAAATCTGATTATCGATCAGTAATCGATAAAAATAGTGCCAATTATACCCATCTCTACAATCGAATTCGTCTAAACGATAAATCCCCAGAAACCCATCGAAGAAAAAGACGTGCAGCTCCAAAAAGCCCCATATTAACATGGAATGTAACAAAAAAGCAACGATCTTTGTGCAAGAACTCCAAATCTAACCATGAACCTCCATCGTTCCAGCAGGAAAAACAGCTAAAAAACGCGAAACCCGTGACAAATTCCACAAGAACAAGAAGGATTCACACAAAGCTATAAAAGGGTCGTGAGAAGAATGACCTGTTCGTGAAAAGCATTCCAAGAGCAAAACTGGAGATGCAGAGAATGATAATCCACTTCGCCGATACCTTCACTGTACTTCGGTTCTTCATATCGATGCAATAAAGAAAATCCAAGAAAAAAAGAACCTTTTCAGACGTTCTTCTCTCTTTGCCTCTGTCAAGGGAGAAGGAAGAAGAAATGGCAGATTCGAATTGGAAAGAAACAGATTTGAATTAAAAAGAAGATCAGAGAGACATGGAGAGAGAGAGAGAGAGAGAGACAGGAAAGAGAGAGTCGACAAGGACAAGGAAAGTTAAGTTGGAAGGCTGATTTGTGCTTTCTTCTGCGCGTTGGGCCGTCGAAATTGACGACTATTCAGCCGGTTTGGAGTTTTGGACACTTCACTGTAACGCCGTTAGTCACGCGCCCTTTGGTCCCATCTGAACAAAGAGTCCGTTGTGGGTCCTACTCCCAGACATGACACGTGGCGCCCTTCCAATACAATCTGGTGAACGTCTCTTCCCTTCTCTCTATCTCCCTACGGCCCTACACAGAGAGAGAGAGAGAGAGATGTCCAAAAACTCCAAAGAACCTAAATAGTCTCTATCGGAAGATTAAGGAGGCTTAATTGTCGTTATTAATGATTAATAATCCGTAATCACTGTTGGTTATGTTTGGGCTCTAGTGGGGGTGATCCATGTGGTACGTTAATAAAATAGTACATAAATCCATGCCGTTGGATATATGGATAATAATGACAATCATGCCGTTGGCCGTTTCTTCTTGTTTGGTTAATGGTTACTGCCTTGATGACAGTTACAAACTACAATGGACAGAGCCACAAATGTTGTTTGCTGAGGTAGAAAAGGTCCTGTTTGGATCAATCTGTTATCTGCCCATGGTTAAAAACAAGTAGACTTTCGGCAACTGGCTCAAGGTAGGAAATGAATGTCGTTTTACCGTCCTTACAAAATGGGTTCAAGTCAACAGACCTGAATATCAGTAGGTTGTGTTTGGGTGAATAGAAAATTAGAAAGAAACAGAAAGTTGAGGGAGAAAGTTATTAAAAGGAATTTTCTGTGAAATTTTTAAGAAATTCCTTCTAGCCTTGTAGGAGCTTTCCTCAAACATTCCGCTTCTCTCTTATTTTCTGTTAAACCAAACGCAAAAGAATACTGTTTTTGAGGATATTGTTCAAATAAGATTTGGTTTTAAATAAAGCAAAAGAATACTGTTTTTGGCTTTAAAAAGTACATAATCCGTCACCTAAAGCCATGTTTGGTTTGAAGAAAAAAGTAGGAAAAGGAAAAGAAAGTTAGGGAAACCTTCATAAATCTTGTATAGGTTTCTGTACCTTTCCTTTCTTTTCCCTACTTTTTCTTTCAAACCAAACATAGCCTTAATTGTTTTTTGGGTAGAAAATTGTTTTGTAACTTTTGTTAGCGGATCATGGGTTGAATGGTCTGACCATCTCGGTTCAATAGAGGTGTCAATTGGATTGGATTTGGTCCAACTTGATCCAGTCCAATGTGAGTCCACCTACAAATGGAATGGACCCAATCCGGTCCAAATCTAATCCAAACCAAATCCAATCTAATCCATTAAAATGTAAATGGACTGGACTGGATTGGATCCAATCCAAACCGAATGAAATATCAAAAATTATATATAAAAAAAACAGAACATATAAAAATTACAAAAATATATTAAAATCAAGAAAAATGAAAATTACAAAAATATACCCTTTTGGTATTGAAAAAGCACTTTTCTAAAATTACTTTCATAAAAATACTTTGATAAAAGTACTTTCATAAAAGTGATTTTGTAAAAGTACTTTCATAAAAGTGATTTTGTAAAATTACTTGCATAGAAGTGCTTTTATAAAAGTGCTTTTGTAAAAGTACTTAAGTACTTTTGTAGAAGTGCTTTTGTAAAAATGCTTTCTTTAAAGTACATTTATAAAGAACTTTTGTATAAGTGCTTTTATAAAAGTACTTTTGTAAAAGTTCTTTCATAAAAGTTCTTTTGTAAAAGTACTTTCATAAAAGTGCTTTCATAAAAATGCTTTTATAAAAGTACTTCCATAGAAGTGCTTTTGTAGAAGTACTTCCATAAAGTGATTTTATAAAAGTGCCGCAAAAGTTCTTTTGTAAAAGTGCTTTCGCGTAAAGTACTTTTGTAAAAGTGCTTTTATAAAACTACTTCTATAAAAGTGCTTTCGTAAAAGTGTTTTTGTAAACATACTTTTCATAAAATTACTTTTGTAAAAATGATTTCGTAAAAGTACTTTCATAAAAGTGATTTTGTATTGGCTTCAATTTTGATCGGTTTCAAATTGGACAAGAGTTTGGCCTCATGATCGGATTATTGGAAATTTGGTTTAGGTTCAATTCAGGCCAATAAGAATATGGACTGATCTATTTTGGATTGGCCCAATCCAATAATTATATGGATCGTCCAAATCCGGTTTGATAAGGTTTAGATCGGACTGGGTCCAACCCAAAACCGGCCGATTGACACCCCTACAGTTCAATCATTCAATCCACTCAATTGAAAATGCAAATAAATAAATAAATTCCCAGTACCATTTTCAAGCTATTTTGTATAGTTGTAGTGGAGACCTGAAATTGAATCCTGCCTTCACCCAATTGGGGGGTGTAGGGGTTTCGGGGGGAGACCGGACCTGCTCCTCACACCTGGCATCTCACACGCACATCCTACCATGCATTGAGAACATCTCCTGTATTTATCAATTATTATTCACGGGAGATATTTTCAATGCACGGTGGATGTGCATGTGAGGTGCCCATTTGTGAGGAGCAGATCCCGTCTCGTTTCTGAGGTAGGTTTGATCAAATCAAGCTTTTGAAAGAACCAACTAGTTCTGATCCATGATCAATGAACACTGATGTAGACAAGGCTTTTGCATCGATAAAGAGAGGCTGATTAAGACATGAGAGTACAACTTAGGTCGGGTTAGATTGGGAATTTGTTAAATTTTTAATGGACCACAAGGCCTGATATAATTGAAATTCTTCAAATCGAACAACCCGACTTACACGGTTACACCCCTTTTAGGGCACATCCAAGAGCCAATATCCTTAAAAAGAAGTACCTCTATTAAAAGTTAGTACATGGAGTGTTTCTATCTTTTCAAATAAACATCTTTGGCCTATTCACTAAAGATGCATAATCACTATTAAAAGCAAACAGTTTTCTTATTTTGGCTTTTGGCTTTTGGAAGCAAGTAAACACCTTTTTTTTCTCTTTTTTAAGCCTTTTGTTTTGGAAGACACTTCTCCACTAAAACGATCAACTTCTTAAAGAAGCTTACTTCCTAGTCCTACAAGCAGCAATAATTGTTATATTTTTACTGTGAAAATCATTCTTTCTCAAGCCAGGGTTTGAGTTCTCAGCTTTTCCTGATTGGAATTTGGAATGCAACTTCTCAGTGCCTGGTTGGGAGGGATGAATCACATCGGCTTCTGCCCTTCTGACTTTCTAAGATGAGCCTATAAACCATGTTTGGTGAAAAATTTGAAGAGCCCAAATCAACTGTCAGTCAATCATTTGAAGGGTTACTTGTTTCAGCCTCTTTCATTGATTTTAACCGTAATACTTCAAAGTAACTGAACCAACTTAACTGAATCTTCACTTCAGATCTCTCAAATGGACCCTCAATATAAGCAATGCCGCCAGGAGACTAACTCTTGTATGAAAGTCAATACCAGACTAGAACAAATAAATAGTTAGGAGCATTGAGAAACTAGTTCTCAATCAAATTTCTGTTAGGAGGGTCTCAGTCTCACATTAGTCACTCTCAATTGTTTCTAGTGTCAAAGTCAGAGTCAAGACAATTCAAACAAAGAAAGTAGTTCACGTAAGAAAGCATAGCCGTTATCTTAGGGGCATATTAATTATGTAGATTGGTGGAAATTCTTGGAAATGCTTGCCTTGCAATTTGGTAGTCAACTTCGTTTTTTCTCTTTTTTGATGGAACTAGTCTGTGAGTCGTTTCAAGAAAGTCCAAACAAGCCTCAGTCTTCTACTTGGTACTGTAGATGGACCCCTTTATTGGAAATCTAGGTGATGTTTGGTATGGCTGTCTTTCGTTTACCTTCGAGGTCTGGACACTGCTATAGCAGTGATACATCAGCATTTAGACCCCTCAACAGCAAAAGAAACCCTGTTTGGTATGGCCTGTTTATGTGGAAGCTGCAACAGAACACAATGCCTCAGCCTATGTGATGTATCCGCTTGGAATTCTAATTTACTCCTTATAGAGTGTGCCTTGCACCGAATTTGGCTTTCGACAATGCAATGCCTGTTCGAACAGTTTTTATGGTCTTGCATTGGGAATATCTCCATACTTGTGTGTTTTATTTTATAAGAAAATATTTTCTATGTAAGGTTATAAGAGGCTATTTGAACGTATCGCGTAAATACATACTTGCACTGACTAAAGCTGAACTTGCCTCACACCAACCTCACATCATGTTGCAGCGGTGCATTAGGAACATCTCCACATGAATGAACTTACAAGCATGGAGATATTCCCGATGTGTGGCTCCGCTCTATTTTTGAGAAAGCCCAATTAATTTGTAGATTCGTTAATTGGGCATGTACTTGAGAATGATCATGGCAGTGAGGTGTACCTAACCAATCTATACTCATGAAACTGCATAATTAGCTGTTTTTTTTACAACCAAACAGATTTATGGGTGCAACAGAAATGTGTGGGGTGCTGGTTGTTTAACAAATTTAGCCACACCAAACATCCACCTAATGGGTCCCTTGTTTGCAGTGGAAAAGAATGGGTCTTATGTTTGGTTTGATAGAAATTAAGTGAAATAAAAAAGGTTAAGGGAAAGTTCCTGAGAAGTTTCACAAAATTCATTAAGAACTTTCCTTCAATTTTCTACCAAACCAAACACAGCCTTGAATGAGCTTCATTGACCACATGATCCATCTTTCATAATAGAGGAGTGCTAATATTCTTGGGTTCTTTTTCCTGCAGACAAAGGCTGGACCCATGAAAAGACACAGAATAAGACAAACTTAGGCATGTCTCTCATGGTCCCCCTTGTCTATTTAGTTTGGAAAACAAACAGTTGCATAAACTCATTGTTTATTATAGCATTCATCTTTGATCAGACCCTTTTTATAAACCAAACAATGCAAGTTTGATTTGTTTTTGTTTGAGCAGGGATTTAAGTCAGGTTGCCCGAGTTGAAGAATTTCAACTAAGGCTGCGTTTGGAAACAATATAAATAAGTATGAATGTAAATATATAGAGTATAAAATGGTTC